GGACGCTGGTATGGCATATGGGGTGATCAGAATGCTGGTATGGGGTATGGCAGGGATTAGGGCGCTGGTATGAGGTATGAAGATGATAAAGGCATTAATATGACATGTGGCAGTGATCAGGATGCTGGTATGGCATATGGGGTGATCAGAATGCTGGTATGGTATATGGCTGGGATTAGGGTGCTGGTATGAGGTATGAAGATGAGAAAGGCGTTAATATGACATGTGGCAGTGATCAGGAAGCTGGTATGGCATATGACAGTGATCAGGATGCTGGTATGACATATGGCGGTGATCAGGGCACTGGTATGACATATGGCGGTGATCAGGGCACTGGTATGAGGTATGGCGGTGATCAGGATGCTGGTATGACGGTGATTAAGATATTGGTGTTGTGTATTGCCATGTTACTGTGTGAACTGGGACAGGTGACAGGGCTGGCTGTATTATTTATTATAGACTACAATGGGCCATGACCCAGTAATCAGGGACACTGTAGTCTATAATAAACAACACAGCCAGCCTTGTCACCTGTCCCAGTTCACACAATAACATGGCCATACACCATACCAATGTCTTAATCACCGCCATACCAGCATCCTGATCACCGCCATACCTCATACCATGATGTGAATGTAGTCGTAATGTATTTTACACCACACATAAGTCTGTGCAGAGCAAAACATCTGATCTGTGAATGAAAACTGCCTGCAGATGACACTAAATTGGATATTAAAACAGGCTATGTTCTGCAGGTTTTTACATGATTTGATGGCTAAAGAGCAACTACTATAATTGATGATCTTAACCACTTAGGTTGCAAGTTCAGCCCTTTTTTGGTTTTCTCCTTCATTCACAGTGAAGCCCCTGAGGCAGCCATCTCCTCTATTTATCCCGTGGCCCAGTTCTGCTACAGACAATTATGCAATGATGCCAAATTATAACTATTGTCACTGCTATCAGTGTTTCTATTTACAATCACATATGTTGGCTGTTACTCATTATATGCCAGGATCACTTTTTAGCCTAAGCTGAGTGATTAAAATAATGATTTCATTGTGTAATCCCATAGAATAGAAAGTATTTTGCCTAGGTGCTTGTTGATACCTGTGTTACTATGGTGTCTTTATTGTCTGATAAATATGTAGTTTTTATTTCAGCGTATACTAATGAAAGCTCCAGGTGAAGCTTCTATCCTGGGTGTACCTGGGGGCATTTCAACTTGAGCTCTGGAAGATTTTACCACCTTCATGACCAGGCAATTTTTTTTGCAGTTAGGCACTGCGCTACTTTAACTGACAATTTCATGGTCATGCAATGCTGTACGCAAGCAACATTTATATAAATTGTTTTCACACAAATAGAGCTTTATTTTGGTGGTATTTGATCACCACTGGGTTTTTTATTTTTTGCAATATAACTGAAATGAAAATAAGACCCAACATTTTGAAAAAAGAAAACATTTTTTTTTACTTTTTGCTATAAAACATATCAAATAAAAAAATTTAAAAATACAGTTTCTCATAAACTTTGGTCAACATTCTGCTACGTCTTTAGTAAAAAAAAATCCTAAGAAGTGTATATTGATTGGTTTGCATGAAAGTTAGAGATTACAAACTATGGTATACATACTGGAATTTTTTTTTTTTTCATACTAGTAATGCAGGCGATCAGCGACTTATAGAGAGGCTGTGATAGTATGGTGGGCAATCTGACACTAACTGACACTTTGTGGGAAATGACTGACTGCCACTGACATCTCCAGTGATCCTAATACAGTTATCAGTGCTAAAAATATACACTGAAACTGTACTAATGACACTGGCTGGGAAAGGGTTAAAGCGGAGCTCCATCCAAAAGAGGAAATTCTGCTTTAATGACTCATCCTCCGATCCCTGTTAGGAATTGGCACCTTTGGGGAGCGAGTACCCAATTTTGACAGGTACCCGCTCCCTATTCCGCTTCAACCACCTAGGAAGTTGTCCTCCCCCTCCCTCCTTCTGGGAAATGTGACCGGTCCCAGAAGACTTTGGGACCATTCACAATGTGCAACGCTACTCGTGCATGCACAGTGGGCACCAGGCTATGAAGCTACAAGCTGTCACAGTTGGTCGCCCACACTTAAGATGCCAGGGACAGAGGACAGCCGGTGAACCCGGTTGCGGTGAGCAAACCGCTGGATCGAGGAACAGGTGACTGTTTTTTAAAAGTCTTTTAAATACTTTTATTTTTTTTCACAGGAGACTGGAGCTCCGCTTTAACATCTAGGGTCAATCAAAGGGATAACTGTGTGCCTAACAATGTGCTAAGTATTTACTGTGTGCTGTTTTACTAAAGGATGTACCATTTTTTAACCCCTGGTTTGAAGGGAAACTAAAAATGGCACATGGACACATTTAGGACAGAGCTCTGTGTTGTTTACAAACACAGAGCTCTGACCTGTCATCCACTTCACCGATTGGTATGTTTTGGCCATACATCACTAGCCAGGACCTGCTTATTGGCTTGTGCTGTAAGGAATGACAGCACAGCCAGGGCAGCCGGCATGCAGGCATGCGCCCCCCTACCCAGAAGAGCCATATTAGATACATGATCCATCCCAAAGCAGCCATCCTGCAGCAGAATATCTGTGTGGGGTGGTCTGCAAACAGATATGTGAGCCAGTATATAGTCTTGTGAGCCACAGAGCCTTAGTCCACTCTGTTTTTAATAAAATAATACATCAATGTACATTCACATATCCAGCATGGGACTCAGAACTAAAGGCATTTTTTTCATTTTGGATATAGTATGGGACAATATAACCCCTGTCAGTATATTTTTGCCCTCTGTGTTCCACTGGGGAGATTTCCCTTCTCTTCCTGTTTTATGGTGAAAACAGGACATGACAGGAAATCCCTAAAAGTGAGGATATGTATGGTTGTCACGGGGTTCACTAGTGTCCCCATTGGAAGATTTTCTCTCTATAGCTGTTCTGACAACAACCCTAAATTTGAGATTTTCTTTCTCTTTCATTATCGGTGATAACAGGCGAAAAAGAAAGTGTGAACCTCCCTAACAAGAATACAGACAGCAATAAAAACTGATGTGTTCTAATCTCTCTCCAGTCTATATAAAACAAAAATAGTTTTGCAGTTAGATGAAAGCTAAAGCAAAAACATAAATGTTATATATTGTAACTCAATGGTCTTTAGATGCAATGGCTGCATTAGTTTTCTTCTTTTTTAGCCTTGTTCTACTTTATTTTCACCTGGTGACCTTGCCAGTAACACATTACCTGTCCTAGAGAGACAACACTGACTAACTGTATTGTATCTATGAAGGAGCAAGGTTGTCATGCTATCCTGATCTGAAATAGAAACACCTCTTCATCTCCGATACATAGTGTGAAGTTGTTCTGTAGTTTACAGAAGATAACTGGGAAGGCAGATAACATTGCTCAGTATTTCGGTTCAGTACACAAAAATGTTATAAAGACACTAAATTTATATCTGAAGCAACAGGAATTTGTCTGTACTAGCAAAGAATGTTATTTTCCTGAAATAGAAAATTAATGTAGCAAGAAAGCCTAAGATCTCATAATCAGAACCATTTTATTACACTGGTTCTGGTAAATTTTGTTCACATGTGTAAATGTGGACTGAATTGCTTTATTTGGAAATGTTGATTTTCATTTTAGGTCCAAGAACTAAGACTCTCAAGTGCATCATAGAAAAATCATTTCTGCCATTAAAGAGAACCAGTGGCCAGTGGGCATCCATAATAGCTTGAATCTTGCCTTTCTCACTCATTTGCCATGGGTGTGAAGCAAAGCACCACAGCTGTGGGATGTGTACCAACCTCTCTGACTGCTGTGTTAGATTTTTAGGTGGGCTGTAAAAAAAAGGGTTCAACTGCCGTTTTTGACACCCCTTCGCAATCCATGTAAACAAGTATTAAAGTGGATCTATAGGCAAGGTAAAAAAAAAATATACAGTATACTGTATGTTGCAATCTGCAAATATCATTAACATAGCTGTTTTTGTTTTTCTGAGCCTCCCCTGTAATATAGTTTTATTACTTCTGATCTGGCCAGTAAGTCTCTTATTTTCTTAATTTCATTTAGCAGACCAAGCTGTCCAGCAAAAGTGTTACAAAGTTTAGACAAACCTTTTACCGCTGACAGGGTTGCTTACAATGGTCATCTTTTATTCATTTAGGCCCCTTTCACATGAGGCAGATTCTGTTCCAGTCAGCAGGGGATCTGTCAGCTGATCAGAGCAGAGCGGTTGAATGACACATCGGTGTCCACTCTGCTCTATGGGTGGCCAGTAGTAAACAAACTCCACTATTTATTTACACCCAACTATTCTCTGATCCGATCTGCCTAAGCAGAAGAGGATGTATCGTCTTACTTTTTTTTAGTGGACTGGATTGGACCCAAAGGTATGTGGGCGTAAATGTACACAACTCCGTTTGCACCCACCTGTTCATAGGGATGAATGGACCCTCCAATCAGGTCTACATGAAAAACTGACAGGCAGACCTGATTGGAACACCAATGTGAAAGGGGCCTTAAGCTCGCTGTAGATGGTTTGAATCTTGGCTGGTTCAGCAAGGACTAGCCGAGATTCAAACCATCTTTGGGCAAGCTGATTGTAAGTCAATTATAGTATGACTTAGGTACAACACATCATATTTTACATGCGATTATTGTTAGTGGCTATTATAGACACCAGCAGTAATCACTAAGTTTATCCAATGAGGACGGCTGCCCCCTGTGCCCCTCCACCAGGAGAACATAATAGCTCCATGGGACAGATTTCCCCCATCAACACTGACTGTGTTGATGGGGGAATAGAATGATTTTCTTTTCTGCAACTACAGTTGTTTAAGATCATTTTTTCTCATAATCCACACTCAGTACCTCATAATGATGAAGTGAAAGCAGAATTTTAGAAATGTTGCAAATGTATGAAAAAGGAAAAACTGAAATAACATATTGGCATAAGTATTCTGACCTTTTGCAACAACACTTGAAATTCAGGTGCCTCCCATTTTTCTTGATCGTTGCTAAGAGGTTTCTTCTCCTTGATTGGAGTCCACCTGTGGTATGTTAAATAGATTGGACATGATTTTGAAAGGCACACACCTCTCTATAAAAGGCCTCAAATCTAAAAATGCTTACTGTATCAGAACAAAAGCCATGAGGTCAAAGGAACTGCCTGCAGAGCTCAGAGAAAGAATTGTTGCAAGGCACAGATCTGGGGAAGGCAACAAAAATTCTGCTCTCTCTGTTCCCAAGAGCACAGTGGCCTCCATAAGTGCAAAACACATTAATGTCCACTTGGAGTTTGCAAAACAAAAAAACTAAAGGCCTCTCAGATTTTGAGGAACAAGATTCTCTGGTCTGATGAAACCAAGATTGAACTGTTTGGCCTCAGTTCTGAATATTATGTCTGGAGGAAACCAGGCACCACTCATCACCTGCCCAATATCATCCCAACAGTGAAGTATGGTAGTGACAACATCATTCTGTGGGGGTGTTTTTCAGCAGCAGGGACTGAGAGACTGGTAAGGGTTGAGGGAAAGCTGAATGGATCAAAGTACAGATGTATCCTCACTGAAAACCTGTTCCACAGCACTCAGGACTTCAGACTGGGTTGAAGGTTCACCTTCCAACATGACAATGATCCTAAGCACACAGCCAAGACAACACAGGAGTGGCTTAAGGAAAACTCTGTCAATGTCCTAGAGTGGCCCAGCCAGAGCCCTGACTTGAATCTTATTGAACATCTCTGGAGAGATTGGAAATTGACTGTCCACTGAAGGTCCCTATCCAACCTAACTAAGCTTGAGAAGATTTGCAAAGAAGAATGGCAGAAAATCCCTCAATCCAGGTGCGCAAAGCATGTCTCATCATATGATGTACAAAAAAATTTGTGCTGCATCAAGACAAATAAATTAATAAAGTCCTAAAGTAAAAAGAGATCCCACACAAGTACTGTGTGAATCCTTAGTAAAGTCCTCATATGCTATCCAAGTGAATTAGTGTAATGACCATCTATTGAATAGTGAGATCCAACAATGTACACCAGTGAGCCCACCACTTCAAACACACACAGCCACTTACCAAATTATTAGACCTCAAATTATAGGAGGTCTAACAAAATGTGAAGCTGCGTGGGTCTTGCACTATGAATCATCCAACTCTGGAACGTAAACAGCACCTCAGATGACACCTTCACTGGTCCTCCTGCTTTGCTATTAGGCTCAGCAAGAAAGAAAAACCTCTGATAGTGTAGTACTGATAATATATTTTATTAAAATCCGGTTACAGAACTACTTACAAACATCTCCAAAGATACAATGTAAAACGCAGCTGGTGTCAGCTGGTGAGGTCAGCACAAGCTCCGCCCGACCCTGACATATGTTTCATCCAAACAGACATTGTCAAAGGGATTAGTTTAGATCTCCTATAATTTGGGGTCTAACGATTTGGTAAGAGGCTGTGTGTCAAGGATTAGTCAAAGTAAGACTGGCACTATCGCCAATTCTCAACATGGCCGCAGGTTGCACACTCTCATTCACATTGGCGCATGTGAGTGTATGAAATGGCATGTGTGCATGTATTGTGGCACATGCAGAGCGCAATAGATTATGGTACCTATTCTCCTTTAAAAGGACAGCAGCTCTGACCACTAGTTTCTTGATGATTAGCGCCCTGTGTTACTGTGCCCTGTCTTATTACTAGTGGAGCCAACTCTGGATTGCCTTTGACCTGTCTTGTGTCATCTCCCGTCTCTGACCTCTTCACTTGCTTCACTGACTTCTCTGCTGCCTGCTTACCAGTATATGCTCTTGGTATGCCTTTTGACCACCCATGATTGACCTCTGCCTGTTCCTGATCTTGCCTCTTGCTCCTGACAATTCTCTGTGCATGACCTTCAGCCTGACTGCTGACCCTGTAATCTGCCTGCTGCCAAGTTCCGCCTGCCACATCTGGGGAACAGCTACCTGCTGCCAAGTTCCGCCTGCCACATCTGGGAAACATCTGCCTGCTGCCACATTCCGCCTGTCACATTTGGAGAACATCAGCTCCTACCGGTTCTATATCTTTTGGTGACCATCATCACAAGCTTGTTGGGCTCTTACAGCTGGCATCCCATGCTTCTTTGGGCTGAGCACTCCCTGTTCCTACCTCCAGGAGTGTTCTACACTCAGCCGCAAGGGAAGCCCTCTCAGCACTCTGGCCTTTGACCAGGTACATGACACTGTGAATGTTTGAAGTGGTGGGCTCACTGGTGCACATTGTTGGATCTCACTATTCAATTAATTGATGGACATTACAATATTTCACTGATTCACTCTGATAGCATACAAGGACTTTGTCTTTACTAAGGATTCACACAGCAGTTGTGCGGGATCTCTATTTACATTTGGACTTTATTCATTTATTTGTTTTGGCATAGCACAACTATTTTCATATATCATGTATTGCACAGTTGTATTTTATGTTTTAAACTTCAGCTGCGGAATGTGAGGTTTTGATTTTTGATATTTTTATAATCGCATTTAGCATTGAGTGCAGTATAAATGTATTGTTTGGTTTGTCCCAAAAAGACTCGAGCTTGTAATTTTGCCAAAGGTGTTTCAACAAAGTACCGAGTAATAGATCTGAATACTTAAATACGTGTGATATATCAGTTTTTTCTTGTTAATAAATTCACAGACATTTCTAAAATTCTGTTTTCACTTTGTTATTCTGGGGTACTGAGTGTAGAATAATGACTGTAGAATCAGGCTTCAATATAACAAATATAACAAAAAAGTAAAGGGGGTCTGATTACTTTGGGAATGCACTTTATACAGCGGGGAAAATATATATTTGATCCCCTGTAGATTTTGTAAGTTTGCCCATTTACAAAGAATTAAGAGTCTACAGTTTTTATCATAGCTGTATTTTAAATGACAGAAAAAGAATGTCAAGCAAAAATCCAGAAAAAACACATGATACAAATGTTATAAATTGAGTTGCAGTTCAGTGAAAACTTGGGACTCACTGGCCCCCTGAGAGGACCACCTGTATGGCAGGGAAGCAGTGGCCCAGCTGATAGGCCTGGGAGCAGCAGCCATTCCACAAATGGTACAGGAGAGGATCTGAGTGAGTACACCTGCACCCCCCCTGGGTGGAGAGTGGAAGGAGAACTCTGGTGGGAAACCAGATTAGCCCTCTGCTAGCGACTGTGCACCTTATTTAAGGGAACAGGAGCCAAATCCCCTGTTCAGGAAGAAAACCTTCAGATTGCTGGGTGGAGAGGAGTTCATCTAGAGCAGGGGTCTCCAAACTATGGCCCTCCAGCTGTTGCAGTACTACAAGTCCCATCATGCCTCTGCCTCTGGGAGTCTTGCCTGTGGCTGTCAGAGTCTTGCAAGACCTCATGGGACTTTCAGTTCCTCAACACCTGGAGGGCCATAGTTTGGAGACCCCTGATCTAGAGTCTGGAGTAGTACAACTGGAGCTGCTGGCTAGCACTCCAACAGAGACTGTGTGTCAGAGAGAAACTAAATAATTCAGGAAGTTGTCGTCAGATTTCGGTTCCCTTGGGCATCCTATACATATATATCATAAACTCTATCCAAGTTTAATCCCCTCAATAAAACAACAAAACCAACGCTCAAAGCCTGATTTCTTTCTGTGGATGAAAGCTGTGTGGAAAATGCTAACTGACTGGCTGTGTAGGGCTATAGGGGGACCCAAATTAATCAGCAATCCCTAAGGGGGTAGTGCTACATATGTTATCCTTCTGGTTTCTCTATGGAAGTCCTCTGAGCTTTATGTATATGTTACCATTACCACAGTAACGGAAGCAAATGCTGTCACCTTGTCCATATCACCCATTATAAACAACTTGTCTGCACCGCCCACAACTCCTTACACTCCTGAAGCCAGTGCTAAAATCAGCAATGTTGGCTCCCCAGAGGAGTGGTATTACCACTACCCTGGTCCTATGACAGTGCTTGGGCATAGTGATATGCTGTCAGGCCTAGACCTGTCTCAGGAGAGCAGGTCACTTGCTTCCCCATACCCAAAAGTACCAGCTATTCTCAGTAACAAGGATCCGAGAAGGAGTGCAGGTAAGGTGAACATAAGAGGGTCAGGGATTGCCCTTTGTAGAGACACTTTCAAATTCCTGTGCATGTCACTTTAACTTTCATAGTTACTGTTAATGTTTTGGTTTCCAGAGAATATGTGGTCATCTGAAGACGTGAATCATTTTACAATCATGTTGTGACAATGTTAACTATGAAAAGGTTTCAAAATATTAACCATGAAAAAGGCTTTCACAACTTCAACTTCAAAAGAAAGATTGTAGCTATAAGAAAGCTTCTAAGGCTAGGTTCACACTATTGTGGGTAGTTGGGGGGTGCGGGTGCGGCACACACAACCACCTGCAGCCAAAACGCCCTGCTCTTTGAAGACATGTGGGGCTGCCATTCATCCTTAATGGCACCCCCACACATCTAAAAATGCAGTACATTTTTCGGGAGCAAAAGCACCATTGAATTTCCCTGCTGCTGTATTTTAGACACGGTGCAGGAACCTTTTTCCTATTCAAGTGAACGGGCTGCCGTGCCTGCGCAAACCTGGCTCACAGAGCTGCAATAGTGTGAACCTACCCTAAATGATAAAATGTGTTTAGAACTGGGATGAGAGTTTCAGTGTAGCAGTGTTTAGCACAAGTCCAATATGCTATCCGTGTGAATACGGTAATGGTGGCATTTTAGGAATAATGTTTAGGGTGAGGATTTAAATGTTTGGTCTAAAACTAGTATTTTAGGGGATGCATCAAAACGGAGCTCCACCCAAAAGGGGAAGTTCCGCTTTAAGGACTGCTCCCCCACTCCCCATTAAGGATTGGCACCTCTGGGGGACAGATACCCGAATTTGACAGGTACCCACTCCCACTTCCGGTCCGATCACCTAGGCGATCGGAAGCGGAAAGTGTCCTCCCTCCCTGTAGTCTTTTGGGACACGTGACAGGTCCCAAGCAGACTACAGGACCATTCATGGAGTGCAGAGCTACTCACCCATGCGCAGTGAGTACCT